GGGGGGGGTTGATCGAGAGGTCTGGGCGTTCCTCGTCGGCTTGTGTTTGGTGACGGTTTTCCCGGTCACCCACGGACGGTCGCGATGGAGTGGGCCGATGGCGACAGAGGCCTGCTTGCGTGGGGGCGCGCGCGCGCCCACTCCAGGCGGCTCGGCCTCCGTTGTCTCAGGCCTTCAGTTCACCTCTCCTAGCGCCCGGTTTGGTGTGGTGACCTACATTACGAGGTCGAAGGTGCCACACACACTTGCCCCCTGGCGATCTTTCTGGCAGTGAGCACTCAACTTTTTATTTGGGCGGGGGAGGGTCCTCTGTTTTCTTTTTGTGGCCGCAAAAAAGAATTTTACAACAAAAAATCCTCGCACTAGGCACGGGACTGGCGCGCACTGGCACTAACACAGGTACACCACGGGAGCCGCTCAAAAAAAGAAATATGCCAAAATAAAACAGTGCGTACAGAACTGAATAATGGCTACTTCGATTCGCATGTTCACTGCTGCGGTGTGTGCCGCGGGAGCGCGGCGGCGAGGCGGGGTGAGAATCTCAGAGAAACTGCGCAGCCGTGGGTGCGAGGGCGCGCGCTGCAGTTTCTCTGTTTGCATCAGGCTCCCTGCCATGCTGGCGGGGAAGGTGCACATGCGCTGGTGTCCAGTCCGAGCCTGACTGTTCTTCACCTTCCTACATGCATACATACCCTCCCTAGCAAGGTGCCAAGGGCACAAAACAACAGCACAACAACACAGACACACAGCGAGGGGAAATATGTGTACGCAAAACCTCCGCAAAAGGCGTGTGTGTGTGTCACTCACCCTCGCAAAAGGCCTGGCCGTGTGGCCAGAGCCAGTGCTCGGCCGCTCCGCGCGCGTGGAGCAGAGCACCTCGCACTGGGTGGAGGGGGGCGCCAGACAGGAGCAGCGGCATCGTGGCTGCGACGGTGTATCATTCACTTTATGCCACCGTTGCATATCCGGATATGCAACGGTGGCATAAGGCGACTGATACACCGTCGCAGGGGGGAGGGGCAAACGAGGGAGAGAGCGAGTCGCACGGGGAGACGCGCCCTAGGGTGCGCCGCGGTTGCTCGTGCGGTGAGCACAGACTGCAGATAGTTCAGGACGGCTCCACCGTTCTTGTGCGCGCGCTGGTACAAAAAAGTAATAACTAATATATTTACTTCCAACACCCGGACGTTCCCACATCCCAGGGTGAGATGGAGAAGGCGTGAAGGGTTCGACTGGCAAGTTCGACGCACCCACCCCCCCCGGACTGGGCGGAGAGATCCCAGGGTATAGACTCTGGGCTGTCCGCCCCGCCCCCACTTGCCCTGACTACACAGGATAGCGTGCCCCGACAAACGGCGACACATGGCGGGGGACACTGCGCCGGGGTGTATGCCTAACTTTGGTGCTTTGTGTGGGTCGCGTTCCCTTGGTAGCTGTGTGGCTGAAGCCCTCGTGCCGCCGGCGTACGTCCACCCCCCCTTCGGAGGTGGTTCCCCCAGCGGCTGGCCCCTCGGGACTGTTGGTGCTTGGCGGGAGGAGGGGGAGAGGGAGGCCCGGTGGGAGGAGAGGGAGAGGGACGCCCGGTGGTAGGGGAGGGAGAGGGAGGGGCCGCCTTGGGCTCTTCTCCTCTTCCCTCCCTGGGCTCTTCGCCTCTCCCCTCCCTGGGCTCTTCTCCCCTCTCCTCCCTGGTACTCTCGGCCTGGTTACCGGAGCGTCTGCTCTCAAGCAGACGCTGGGGGGAAACTCTCGCCCGGAGGCGGATGGGGATGGGGGGGCGCCGCGCCGCCGCCGCCGTGCCGCCTTCTCCCGCTTTGATCTCCCTCAGCTGCTTCTCCTCCTCAACTCAACCTGTGAGCTTGCGAGGGCGGCGGGGGTGGGAGTGCTCTCGGGCGGCGTGTGCGAGTGTGCGCGCGCTGGTACAAGGAGCAAGCACTGGCAGCCCTGGGTGGCCCTCTCCAGTTTTCACGTACGTCCACGCGGGGTCAGGCGCGGCGACGCCGGCGTACATCTTACAGGGGTTGGGGTGAAAGCTGCGCGCGTGCGCAGTGCGACTGCGTGCTTAGGGGGTAGACAGGCCCCAGAATCCACCAGTGTGGGAAGTGGGATTTCGCGCAATCGCTTGACTCTGAATAAAGCTCGCAATGTACCTGGAGCCGGTCCTCGCGAGCGGCGCCGTCGCCCCCCTCGACGCGCAGTGGATCATCAGCCATGCCGAGGCGGGCGGCGTCCTCAACCACCGCCAAGCGCTGCCCGAAGAGACCTTCCTCTCCCTCGCCGACCTCGTCGAGGCGACCAACGCGATATTGGACTCTCTTCCCGTCGGAGCGCTCTCCTACCCGTGGCTGACCAAGGACCACCCCGACCCGCGCGGAGCCAACCTCGCCCACGTCGCAAGGGCGCTCAAGGCGGTGCTCACCGGAGGGCCGCCGCCTCTGGAGTGTGTCGCCTCTGTGGGCTTCTCCTTTCACATGTTCGGCGTGTCGATGGGATCGCTCGAGCTGCGGGCTCGGACGGCGGAAGGCGAGGCGTGGGCCGCCCTCTGGGAGGCGCGCCGACGGGCAGAGCGCCGGCGGATCCACCGCAGACGCGTGGCGGAGGGCCCTCGTGCCGCTGACGCCGCCGATGCGCCGCACCGGCGGAGCGAGCCTGCGCTTCGTCGGGACCGTGGGCGATGGCTATCTCTCCGACATTTCGATCGACGACCTCGAGTTTGAGAAGTTCGCGGCGGCGCCGCCGCCTCCCCCGCCGCTCGTCTGCAACGGCTTTTGCCACGCCACCGCCCCAGGGGCGGCCTGCGCCTCGCGAAAGTGCGCCGGGTGCGCCTTTTGCCGTGAGGCCACGCTCCAGCTGGCGACGGTGGCGGCGCGCTCGCCACGGTCACGCGGCGGCGCCTCCGCCGGCCCATCGGCGCCGCGCGCGTGCTGCTCCTTTGACAAGTGCGGCAGCTGCCCCGAGTCGCCCTTCTGCTCTTCTGGGGCGCGGTGCGAGATTGAGTGCGGCGGAATGTGGTGCGAGCTCGGCGTGGCGGGGGCGGGAGCGCGCCAGAGCAGCTGAAATCAGCGCCAATTGTTGGGGTGAGCAAGGCCTCGTTGTGTAGACGCTGGGAGCACTCTCTCGTCTCTCGTTTCACACCGCAGTGTACTGCCGGTGTTCAGCTTACGTTAAGTGGTGCCATACGCGCGACGCGGCAAGGGAGAAAAGCGGCTTCACTCGCGCCTCGTTTGGAATGGCGGACAAGAGGGACACCTTTTCGCTTTTGGGGGGGCGGCCGCGGCGTCCGGCTCGCCGGCGTCGGTCCCCGGTCGCAGAAGGAGTCGTGCTAAAAAGAATTTTAAAAGAAATCATGCGAGGCAATCTCATTCGACACGCTTCTCGCAACTGTACGCATTGGACACAGACCACAGCTCTACACCACGCTCTCCGCACGCTCACTTCCGGCGCGGCACTCTCTCGCTCACTCCCCGCCCCCGTTGACTAGCCCGTTGACGCCGATCGCGGCTGACGCCGACGCCAATGCCGACGCCAACCAGCTGGACTGTGGCGACGGCGATGGCGACGACGGCTGCGACGGCGGCTGCGACGGCGACGACGACGGCCACGGGGGAGGGATCTGATCCACCACCTTCTGCATCAACTCCAAGACAGCCTGCTCCCTCCAGGTCCCGATGTTGACCGCGTAGTTGTGGAGCGCTTCGCGGATGCTCTCACACGTGGTGTCTACGAACGGCTCCACCATATCAAGCAGGCCAGTGTAAGAGCCAAGGTCGGTCTCCACGCCGACCAACTTGCAGCATGGGATCCCATGAACCATCCTCTGAACGTAAGCTGTCAGGCTGAAGTTAAAGAAAGGCTTATCCTTCGCGTCAACCTTCCAGCCCTCGACGTAGCGCTGCGCAGTGCGCATCTCTTGCCGGGGAACGTACTCGTAGAGATCGACCTCGATGGTCATCACGTCATGCTCAGATTCGCACGACGACCAGTTCGTGCACTTCCAATCCGATGATGACGGCGCAAACTCAAAAAGTGGCACGTTCCCAAGAGATCCAAAATCGGGGTAGCCGTACCACTGAAACAGGTTCTTGTTAACGACCGTCGGCTTGGGCCTTTCGTTCTCTTTGTTAGCCCAGTTGAAGCCGCGGCCGTGGAGCAAATCGTCGACACCGATCAAGGGCCGTCCGTGCTCCAAAAAGCACCTCTCAGCTTCGCGATCGATGACAGCGGTCGTCGTCCTCCCCTTTTTGGGGTGGATGATGAAGAAAGATTTGATCTCACCGCAAGACTTAGACTTATTGATGCCATCCCACAGTCCCACTAGCCTCTTCGAGAAGCTGTTTCGCAACATGTCAGCAGCGGTCTGATTGCCGGAGCTCTTGTACCCGAGGAGGCCGCAAAGGTAGCAGGAGTCTGTGTTATTGGTATCCAAAACAATCTTGTCAAATGCGCCATCGATCAGAGCCTGCAGGAGGTAGAGCTGGGCCACCCTCTCGTCACCATCGGATGTGGCTGCAGTGTACCCCACGTGCACGTACGCCATCCCCTTGGTGTAGGAGGTCATGTTCACCTGCTCCCCGAGGTACACGGCACTGGTGGCTTCATCTGGAAAGCCGAAATTTGGCCCGTTGCGGCCGAGGAAGAAGAGGGAATCCTTCCTCGACTGCGCGACTGTCGTGAGGTTTTTCTTTGCAATGCAGGCCACGGGCTCGAGATCGGGGTGGTAACTGCGAGGGCAGATCTCGTGTGGGCAGTTCTCTTGTGGGCAGATCTCGTCCAAAAGTGGCGCCCAAGACGTGTTGCAGTCTGGAGACATGCTGGCATTGCACCATGCGGTCTCCCCATGCATGGTGGAGTCGTAGAACATGTCGCATGACTTGTTCGCTTGGTGGGAGATGTTTTGAAGCTCATCGCACATCAGCCGGATGGCGTCGGCGTGGGAGGAGGCATGGGAGGCATCCCACAGCTGCTTGTCGGCGTACGTGCGAACAAGTTTCTCGCCATTTAGCGACTTGAACATGTCCGTCAGCCGACGCTGTCCCCGCGTGGTGAGCTGCGCAGCTGTCCCCGCGTGGGGGTCACCCCACGCCGATCGGGACTTCGTCTCGACCGTCGCACCCAGCAACAGCGAGATTGGCAGCGAACCGTATGCAGTGAAGCTGTTTCCGTAGACTGACAGTGGCTTCTCGCTGCAAGCTGGCCAGTGGGCGAGCTTCTGCATTTCCTCTCTGTAAGGCACCCACTCCAGCTTTGAACGCGCGTCGATGATCACGACGGGCCCAGTGGCCTCGGCGACGGTTGTTGCTCCGCAGGTCACCGTGACCCGGTCATGCGCAACGTTGATTTGCCCGTTGACTGGCCCGTTATTCGCCTCTGTAAGTCCGACAAACTCGCAGTCCAGTTGCACCTGCACGCCCCACGATTTCAACGTGCGAGACACGCGTCCAGACTCGCACTCGTAGTCCTCGCGGGTGCGATTGAGAAGGCGTCGAATGTCTTGGCTTGAAGTCTCGGCGGCAGCGGCTGCGGAGCCGGGAGAGGCTCCGACGCCGTGCTGGTCGACGAGCATCAATCTGTCGAGCTGGAAGTCCAGTCCTCCCTCTGCGATGCGGGCATGACTGAAGTCGCCAAGGCGCCGGCTTATCTGTGGAGCAGGCGGAGGAAAGCTGAGGAGAGAGGAGAGGCGGAGGAGAGCTGAGGCGGAGGAGAGCGGCCTCAATGTCCTGCCACGCAGGGATGAGCGCGTCGCTCTTTTCCAGGAGCACGACCCGATTCCCGCTGTCGATCATGTTTGCAGCTGACGTGACGCCCTTCATGCCGCCGCCGATCACGACGACGAGAGGCTTGGAGTGGTCATCGACGGGCGCAGCGAGCACGACAGACGCGATGATGCCGAACATGTCGATGCCCTTGCTCTTTGCAAATCCTTGCTCTTTGCAAATCGCGCGGGATAGAAGGACTACTATCGGCAAAAAGAAAAAATATCGCCCCTCACGCAGGCAAGCCACCGAAGCCACTGAGTGATTTGTCGACAAAAATGATTTAACAAAGACTCTCAGCCGACAAAAAAAATTCTCGCCGCCGCCCGTACAGAGCGCCACTTCCACGCGCCAGTCCGCCCCGTCCGCCCTCCGCCGACCTCCGCCGACGCGCCATGGCGCGCGGCATCTCCAGAGCGCTCACCCACGACCTCCCACACAACCTCCATCCCGGCTCTCCGCCCCGCTCCGCCGACCTCCGCGGACGCCACAACGCGCTCTACAACTTCCTGTCTGCGCCCGGCTTCTCCGTCAATGTAAAGACAGAAGAGGCTGTCTTCAAGATGCACGGCGGAGCTCTGACCATCAATGGTACCTTTCTCACTGAGGCGCACATCACCGCGCAGCTCTCCACGCAGAAACTCGCCACCGCCTCCTTCTGGGCATCCGAACTGGACCCCGACAAGCCCACGCTTCATAAGGTGCAGGTGTACACCTTGTACCGACACAGAGGTAGACGCGGCCAAAGGATATCCACCTCGAGTCAATAAGAACTAATTCTTTTTTCGGCGTACCCCTCGGCGTACCCCTCAGACCCTGCTAAAGGAGGTGGCCGCAGCCGAGCCCTTGCTGTTTGTGCTCGCCTCGAGAGCCGATTACGGGCATGGCTGCGCCGGCGTCGCCCACGAGGCGAGTCATCATCGATACCGACCCGGGCGTCGACGATGCCCTGGCTATCCTGCTGGCGTTCGGAGCAGAGAACATTGCTGTTGAAGGCCTCACGATCGTCTGCGGCAATGGCGCAGACATTTACGCGCTCGGCGCCAACGCGAGGCTCCTCGCCCGCGCGGCGGGGTTTCCGGACGTGCCCATATGCCTCGGCGACGCTCCGGAGGAGGGCGCCGAGGCAGTCCAAGACATTCCAGTCCACGTGCACGGCGCAGACGGCCTCGGCGACATGGCAACAAAGTACGGCCGCAGCGAGGCGGACCGGTCCGGGTTTGACGCGCGGTCCGCCGCGCAGTTCCTGTGCGACGCGTGCGACGCTGCGCCCGGCGAGATCACCGTCGTCGCCATCGGCCAAACGCCATGGCGCCGCTGCCGACCCTTCTCGGACCCTTCTCGGACCCTTCTCGGTTTTCTCCTAGGCCCTCTCTCCAACGTGGCGGCGGCACTCGTCGCGAGACCCGACCTGCCGACGCTGCTCCAGGAGCTCGAGATCACCCGAGATCACTCGAGATCACCCGAGATCACTCGAGATCACACGGGATCACCTGCCGACGCTGCTCCAGGAGCTCGAGATCACCCGAGATCACCCGAGATCACTCGAGATCACACGAGATCACCCGAGATCACACGGGATCACCTGCCGACGCTGCTCCAGGAGCTGCTCGTGATGGGCGGCGCGGCGCACCGAGAGCACCGCGGAAGCCCGGAGCTCACCCGAGCTCACCCGAGATTGCCCGAGATTGCTAGGAGCGGTGCACGGAGAGCACCGCGGCAACCGGACGCCCGCGGCGGAGGCAACCTTCCTTAGACGCTGGATGCGCATTCTTGAACCCTCACCTAGCGCTCGGAATTCCTACTTGTGTCGCTCGTATTGACACAGTGCTCTCAACACTCTGCACGGTCCCGTCTTCCCGATGTCGGTGTCCTCAGCACGCAGGCGAACTTCGCTGCGGACCCCGAGGCGGCGCAGGCGGTGCTGACTGCAGGCTTCCGCAGCGTCATCTTAGGAAAGCTCGGGGAATCGCGGCTACTCAGTCTCAGCTAGTCTCAGCTCATCTCGGGGAATCTCGAGGAGTCTCGGGGAATCTAGATCGTCTCGGCTCATCTCGGGGAGTCTCGGCTCATCTCGGCTCATCTCGGCAGGCTTCCGCAGCGTGATCCTCGCCGACCTCGGCGCGACGCACCAAACCGACATGGACGTGCTGCGGCGCGCGTGCGTCGAGGAGCTGCCGGAGAGCGGCGTGGCGCGGCTGGTGTACGACGTCGCCCAGGCCCATCTCTCCCCCATTTCTCCCCCACATCGCCCACATATCGCCCACATATCGCCCACATATCTCCCCCAACCTACCACCAGGCCTCACACACACTGCCCAACGCGCACCGGGCCTCGCACTTTGAGTGCCGTTGTGGGGCTCCTGTCTCTAAGACGTGGAGTCGCGAGGGGCTAGCGTGGCCCTCGCCCCACCCTTGTGTGTGTGGAGAAGATTACCTCACCTTACCTTACCTCGCTCAGGTCTTCATCGACTGCTACGTCCGCACCTTCAAGCAGACCCACGCGCCCGCGCACGACGTGGCGCGAGATCGAGCCAGATCTGGCCGAGATCTGTGTTAGCTATCGCACATCCTACAAGGGTGACACGGGTGGCCGTGATGTACCTCGTGCGACCGAGCCTGTTGGTGAATTAAGTCGATCATTACTCCTTCAACAGGTGGCCGTCATGTACCTCGTCCGCCCGAGCCTGTTCACACGGCGGCCGGCGCGAGTCGAGGTGGAGCTGCAGGGCAGCCTCACCCGCGGCGCCTCGGTGGCCGACTGGAAGGGGCGCTGGGGGCGGCCGCTGAACTGCGAGGTGCTCATGACTGTCGAGACCGAGCCGTTTGTGAGCGAGTTTGTCGCGGCCATACGGCGGCTGCCCAGGACGGCGCCGGCGCTCCCGCCCTAACAGGGTGAGACGGAGTCTCGCGCCGCGCGGGAGGCGGGACCCGGGAGGGTGCTCACAATCGCGCCATGGAGGGCCGATGGGGGGTCCCGTTCCTTTCGCCAACCCCTAGCTTTCCCACACGCCCTGTCCCTGTCCCTTATGATGTAACATACTTCCGGGCCGGTGTGCGGGGACGAGCGAACCTTAACGACCGTCCAGAAGCTCTCTGAGCGACCCAATCGGGCCAGGATCATCGCATATGTCCCTCGGCCGGGTGGTCTGCAGACCCCCCCCCCCCCGGAGCAGCAGAGGCTCCGTGGGGTCGCAAAGTCGACGCTGGGAGTCGCACTCGTCAAACCATCGCAGCACCACGCGGTCCGCACGTACCGCCCACATCCCCTCCACCGCTGAGAAGGCGCAGATCGACCGCCGGGCCGCGTAGTCGTCGTTAAGGAGCGGCTTTTCGGAGCCGTACGAAGAGGTCCCAGACGGGCGAACACATGCGGTTTGTCGATGACCACGCGCGATATGGAATCTGCTTTTTGCTAAAAACGGGCCGCCTAGTGCAGCATCACTGCTGTCCGCCCAAGCAAAAATAATTACACCTGGTCGCGCCGCTGAGCGTTCAGGTCGAGCTCGGCGAGCTGAGCAAGATCATCCAGCGGCGCGACAGCTGAATCGCGAGCGTTGAGGAACGCGAGACAGATCGCGTTCCGCGTTTCAGTTTCACAAAAGGTACCACCCTCAGTAGCAGGTTTCCTCCCGCTGTGATCTTGTGTGAGCTCTGTGTCTTGATTTGCCAGCAACAAACCACATGAATCCGAGACGGTGATGGGGGCGTCTCGGCGGTCTCAGGCCCAGTGAGGTAGTGCGCCTGACCATCCCGGATCCTGCTGAACAAGTTCCTCTTGTAGCTCGATCGGTCACACCGTCATCGCCGTCGGGGTATGTATGTATGTAGAATCGGGGTGCTCAAGCAACAAACCTAACACGCCAAAGGAATTTCTCGAAACGCGTGTGCCGGTGATAGTACTAGCACGCGCCAGTTCGCACCTGTGTCGAGCCTGTGTGCTGTGAGAGAGAGTTCTTTTGTTGTGGGGCTGCAGAAGCAGCGCATCTCAGTCGTTCTTCACACGGCCATCGCAGAGCAGGTCGTGAATGAGCTTGCCTGTGGCGGGGGTGGGCGGGTGCACGGAGCTAAGTGCCTCGCCACCCTCGCAGGAGTCGCTTAGGCGGCTCCCGTGGTGTACCTGTGTTAGTGCCAGTGCGCGCCAGTCCCGTGCCCAGTGTTGTGCGAGGGAGTTTTGTTGTCAAATTCTTTTGTTTAAATTCTCGAAACGCGCGGACATGTCCGAGCTTGTCCCAAGGATCCCTAGAACGATGCCCCAGACTGCGGCCCCGCCGTCAGCTTGCCCACTCTGCCTCGATCCGTTCACGCAGCCAACCAAGACGGCGTGCGGTCACGAGTTCTGCACCGCTTGCCTTGCTCAATGGACGCAGCGGACGCCATCGTGCCCGCTCTGCCGCACCGCACTCCGAACTAGCGACGACCCGGCTGTGCCACCACGACGCCCACACTGCCGAAGCCTTCGCGAACGCATCGAGCGCGAGGAGGCGGAGCGCGCTGGAATTCGGGAGCGGCATCGGCAGCTTGCGAACCGGATCGCCCTCGTGCAATCCACGGTGTTCACGCCTTCAGGGAGGCCGTTTGAGAGCCTTCCGAGGGTGAGCGTGGCTCAGCTTCGCGAGCTGGACAAGGCGAACCGGAGAGGTCTCGGGGTCTCGCTGCGCGACGTCGGAAATGGTCTCAGCAACGGTCTCGTCTGATTTTTGCGCTCGATCGGAGGGAGGCTGGTGTGACTTGTTCCCCGGCCCCGCTGCGCCGCCGGCCGCGTGCGAGCCAGTGTGCGCCGCTCTCCGCGCTCGACGGGGTCAGTGTGATTTTATCCCTATATAAGCTTGCTCCTGCTGCACCCATTATAAACGGCTACCCACAGAAAATCGCCGAAGATTATTCGTTCCATGAAGGGACACAATGGGGCCGGCGGTGCGACACTTGACGCCTTGCACGGCGCGGCCGCGCGGACCGCGCGCGCCGGTCGCCGCTCCGGGAGTACAACCACGAGCCAAGCCTCGCCATTCTCGCCAGAATGGCGCAGATGGTTCTCGCCGGCCATGCCACTGCGGCTGCGGGCGGGCGGGGCGCTCGCGCGCCACGCGCAGTCGACGCGGCTCGATCGCCCGGGCCCCTCCGCCGCAGCTCGCCGTCGGAGAGCGGCCCGGCGTCAAAATGCTCACCTTTGAGAGATATCGCTCTTGAGCCTCGCCACGACTCATAGATAGATGATACTTCATTCTTTTTGTGTGCCCGGGCCTCGCCACGGATCAACTTGACCCCGCGCTCCGTCGTGGCCGCGCCAGCGGGAGGGCTCCGGCGCCGCCCCGCTCGCGCGCAGGCGCGGCGGCGACGCCTCCGCACCTCCCGTTTTGTCGCCCGGCTGAGCGAGGAGCAGGAAGACGAGCAGCGACATGCTGTCTCGAGACTAGTGAGCTTGATGTCCTCAAATGTTGGAATAATTTACATTGTGTGTACAGACGCTCTCGCGGCTCGCAGGGGTGGGACGGGCGCGTCACGGTGTTGTGTGCCGGTCAAGAGCGGGGACAGCGGTTTTTGGCCGTCTGTACGAAGAGGCGCAACCTCAAAACGTCGACCCAAGCTCCCAAAGCTGAAGATGGGCTCGCCTATCCTAACCAATGATGAGATTCAATAGGTTTAACTAGCCCTGCAGCGCCCCGTCGGCACAGGCAGGCTCGCCCGGCGTGTAGTGGGCGATGACGAGGAGCGCCTTGAGCATGCCTCGCTGCACGCGCAGCTCGGAGCTGCAGGCGGCGGGCCGGCGAGCGCGGCGTCCTCGTGTGCGTGCGCCAGACCCACCCTCGCCTATGACCATGGATCGCTGCATGACGCACACTGGCGCCCTGCGCGTGCGCCAGAGCAGCCCTCTCCCTCGCTGCGGGGTCAACACGCGCCTCCGCCGCAGCCATGCGCGCATGAGTCGTCACATCCTCCCCCGTGCGTGAGCTTGCTCACCCCCCCCTCGCCTCCTCCGCAGCCACGCGCGCCTCCGAGAATGGAGCGCTCGCCGCCCACCTCGCCTCCGCAGCCTCGACCCGCGCCACCGACGCCGAGTGCAGCGCCGCCATCAGCAGGTTGAGCAGCGCGTGCAGCCCTCCCGCCGCCACGTGGCCGCACGTCCGCACCAGGAGCCAAGCCGGCATCGGCGGTGCCTCCGTCGCCGCACGAGGCACCTGCGGGCAGGGGCCCTGGATGGGTCAGAGACACTTCCCGGGAGAACAGAGCCCGGCTGCCGGCCGAAGCACCGAGTCGTACGCGACGGAACCATCCCACGGCGGCAGCCGCAACGCACTGCGCGAGGACCACGCACTCCTCGACGCTCAGTCTCGCCTGACTCATTACTCATGACTGATCCCGCACTCGCGCGAGGACCACGCACTCGACGCTCAGTCTCGCCAGCTCCTCGCGAGACGCGACGCCGCCTCCGTCGCCACCAGAACGGCCTCGCCGCAGCGTGCGGCCGCCCTCGCCCCCGGCCGCCCCGCCCCCAAATTGATCGTGATACTTCTGATCATTGTACACCACGTCCCCCCCCTCCCCCGCCCCCCTCCCCCCCCCGCAATCTACCCCCCCCCCCTCCCCCCATACCCCCCCCCCTGCAGCCCCCCCCCCCCCCCCCCCTCCGCCGCCGCCGCCGCCGCTTGCCCCCCCCCCCCCCCGGCCGCCCGCCCGCCCGCCCCGCCCTGCCCCGCCCGCCCGCCTAGCCCGCCCGCCCTCTGCGGCGCAGGAGTCGTTTGTGCGCCACGTCGAGCGCGAGATCGACATCACCGCCGCGCTGACGCACCGGCGCATCGTCGAGACGTTCGCCGCCCTCGAGATCGACCGCTCCATACCTCCCCCTCTCTCCCCATGCCTCCCCATCCCTCGTGCAGGTTCGCCGCCTTCGAGATCGACCACTCCAGATCTCCCCATCTCTCCCCACCTCTCCCCATCTCTCGTGCAGGTTCGCCGCCTTCGAGATCGACCGCTCAACGTTTGTGTCGGTGATGCCGTACTGCAACGGCGGCTCGCTCGCCGACCTGCTGCGCCGGCAGGGGGCGCGCTGGCGGAGCGCGAGGCCAAGTCGATCATCGTGCAGGTGCCGCACGGGCTGCGCCTCATCTACCTGCCCATGTCTCCCCATATCTCCCCATGTCTCCCCATATCTCGTGCAGGTGCTGCACGGGCTGCGCCACCTGCACCGCCAGCGGGAGCCAATCATCCACTACGACCTCAAGCCGGCAAACATCCTGCTGCACGAGGGCGAGGTGCTACCTCCCCATATCTCCCCATATCTCCCCATATCTCCCCATATCTCTCCATATCTCTCCATATCTCCCCATATCTCCCCATATCTCCCCATAGTGCGCCTCTCCGACTTTGGCCTCTCCAAGGTGATGGAGCCGCAGGCGACCGACCCGCGCGGCGGAGGCATGTCCAGGACACGTCCACGACATGTCCGAGACATGTCCGCAGGCGACCGACTCGCGCGGCGGCATGGAGCTGACCTCGTACGGCTCCGAGGGTGACCGCGCCGCGGCGGTGGCCCCCTCTGAGCGGTGCGTGCGGGCGCGGCCCTCACGCGGCCCCGCCCGCCCGCAGGCACGCACGGCTACTTGCCGCCCGAGTGCTACGAGGGCGAGTCGTCGCGCATCTGCCCAAAGGTGGACGTCTTCTCGGCGGGCGTCGTCTGCTTCACGATGCTCTTCTACCCCGCCAAGCCCTTCTTCGCCGACGCCTCGCAGCAGCAGATCATGCAGATGTCGTCCCACTCCATGCGGACCGAGGCGCAGCGCCTCGCGATCCCCGACTGCAAGCCCGCCCTCTCCAAGGAGGTGCAGGAGGCCCTCCGCCGCTGCCTCGCGCCGAGCCGCGCCGACCGGCCCGACGCGGCGGCGCTGCTGCGCGAAGGCCAAGTAGCCCGCGGCGCCGGGACTGGCGGCGTGCGAGCTCTCCCTGAAGCGAGCCCTGACCCCGGACGAGGAGCGGGGGGTCGGTCCGCCAGCGTGAGATGCTCGTTTGCTGTTTTTTACATCACGCCACACGCACTCTCCCCACTGCCCGCACCCAGTCACTAGAGTGACACCTAGCGTAGAGTGACACCTAGCGAGGGGCAGACCTCTCGATGATGGACGAGCCATGGCGCCAGCCAGGCGAGTTCACACCATCCCAATATCAAACGCGCCATTAGCGCGCCAGCACGGCTTATACGTCAATTACGCCACCCACGATAACACTTTCGATGTTTGTGAGTGTTCCGACGGGCGTTGATCGAATCCCTTGTGCGACAAATCACGACTCCCACCGAGCCGCGCCGCGCCGCGCGCGCGCGCGGCTCACTCGCTACCACCGACACCCGTGCGTGTCTCACTAGTCACAAGTCGAGTATGTGCAATGCGCGCGCACACACACAGCTCTCGAGCTGGGGGCCCCTGCGGCATTGCATTTTGCATCACCGCACAAATGCCCATGGCCATGCCGACGGCCTTGCTTGGACCGACGACCGTCGCTTGACTCTTCATCAAAATACAGCTCGACATACACACATGTTACATCTCCAATCCACTCCATTTCATCCGCATATTCCGATCATACCGCAGCACATCACCCCGGCACCCCCAAGCAAACTCTCACGTCAGTGACGTCTCAGCACCCCTCAATCCTCAAACAGTCACCCCACAGTCACCCCACTAGTTATAGCTCCACTCGCGACGCGCCCGCCTACACGACGGCCACCGGCCCACCGTGCGAGGCTTGTGCCCGTCTTGAGGAGCTTACACCGACACGACGGCCTGCGCGCAGCGAGGGATGGCGCGGGGCGTGAGGCATGGACGGGGACAGCGGGAGGGGCTGGGGCGGTGCTGCGCTGCAGGGGCGTGAGCAGGGGCGAGGGGCCGGGGCTGCGCGCCTCGAAGCGGTCGAAGGCGACGTAGTGCGCCACGAGGGCGCTCTTGATCACAGCGCCGGCCGGCTTGGCGTCGAGCGACGCGAGGGCGGCGTCGATGAGCTCGACGATCGCTTGGTGGTCCGCCTCGTGCTCCTCGACGTCGCTAGCCTCGTGCGTGTAGGTCATCTCGACGGCGGCGCTGAAGGTGAAGGCGTCCTTGAGGCCGAGGAAGCAGACACGGCCGGCGATGTTGACGCACGCGTCGAGGGCGTTGGTGAGCGCGATGACCTCGACCTTGGTCGAGATGATCTTCTCCATCGCCTCGGCCGAGACGGGGAACTTGATGGGCGCCTGCGCACGGGCGAAGAGGGAGGCGTGGGGGGGAAGAGGGGCCCGAGGGGCGATGGGTGGCCGCACGGAGGTGGGTGGAAGCGCGAGCGACTGGGGGCGGCAGCTCGAGGGCTGGCGGCGGTGGGTTGGGCAGAGGGCGGCGGGCGGGAGGCGTGCCTGGTCGAACTTGGTCTCGTGCTCCTCCATCGCCGCCTCGAGCTTGGCGAGGAAGGCCGAGTCGACGCGCTCGTCGCCGCCGGCCTTCCGGATGCGCGACTGCTCCGAGGCGACGGCGAGGTACTCGTGCGCGGCCGTGTGCGCCGCCGACAGGCCGCCCTCGCGCGACGCCTCGGTCGCCTGGTGCTCCTTCAGCGCCGTGCCGTACGCGGCGAGCGAGTCGAGCGAGTAGTCGTCCTTGGCGGCGACGTAGAGGCGCTCGAGCTCCTCGTGCTGCGCCTCCTCCTTGGCGGCCTGCTCAGATGCCGAGAGCGAGAGCAGCTTGAGCGAGGAGGGCGGCGCGTCGACCTGTGGACACGGCGTGGCACGGGGGCGAGGGCCCAACGTCAGCGCAACGGTGGGGAGCGGAGCGCGAGCGACTGGGGGCGAGAGCACCGACAGGATGATGGTGAAGTTGACGTCGGAGCCGCCCGCCATGCCCGGGTCCTTGTTGGCCTGCGCGAAGGAAGGGACGAGGTTGGGGCGGCGTGTGCTGCAGAGTTGAGGGGGCCTGAGGCGCGAGAGGGGTGGGAGGCAGGGGCGCAGGAGTGGCTCGGCGCCTGCAGCGAGTCGAGCACGTAGCGGCCGTCCGGGGACGAGGAGGTGGCGAAGCCGCACATGGCGACGAGCAGGCCGACGACGAGCAGGCCGATCTGGGTGGGGAGGGGTGGGGAGGTTTGTGAGGGGCGAGCGGGAGATCGCGCGGCGAGCGGGAGATCGCGCGGCGGGCAGGCAAGTGGGCGGGCGCGCCGCTGCTGCGGCGGCAAGCTTGAAGCGGCGCGAGGTGGTGGTCAGCTGCGCGTTGGCCTGCTGGAGCGGAGAAAGAGTCAATGTGTCTGGGAGGGGAGGAGTGTGCGCGGCGCGCGCGACGCGGCTCCTGCTCGAGCCCCTGCCGCTCCTGCTCGAGCTCGGACTTGTCGGCCGCCAGTTGAAGCCAGTCCGCCTCGGCGGTGTCGTTGGCGCGCTTGAGCTCCTTCTCGAGCTCCTCGGTGCGCGCCTTGAGGCTGCCAACCTCCTCGAGGAGCCGGTAGGCGACCACGCCGGCGAGCATCAGCTTGCGGAAGTACGTGAAGCGCGCGATGTACTTGTCGCGCTCGGCCTCCGTGACCTCGAGCGCCTCCACCTCCTCGTGGTCGGTCCGGCCGCCCTGGGAGAGCTCCTTGAGGCGCAGCATGTGCTCCTTGCACTTGTGGAGGAGCCGCTGCGCGATCTTGGAGTTCTTGTCGGCCTGCTTGTGTGCGCCATACGTGAAGGCGGCGAGCTCCTGCAGCAGCGAGGCAGGCGGTGTGTGGGAGGGTGGTGTTGGGGCGGGGTGCGGGGGGGCAGTGGTCAGGAGCACCTTGAGCGAAATCTGCGAGAGGAACTCGGCGGACTGCGCGTCGGTGTGGACGTGCTCGAGGTACTCCTTGTACTTTTGAGGCAGCGACTTGAGGAGCTTCATGAGCTTCACGTTGGGCTTGAAGCGCGTGTAGGTCTGCTTCTCGAGCTCGTCCGCGTTGACCGTCTTCTTCTCCTCCTTCTCGTCGTCGTTCTTGGCCGCCTGCGGCAGCACGGCGGCGATGCGCGAGGGCGGGGCGAGAGGCCGGGGAGGGGGCTGGGCGAGAGGGCGTGCCTCGGGGCACAGGCCCTCCTTGGCGAGGGCCAGTGGCGTCGCCGCGTTGGGCTCGGAGTCCGTTGGGACGGGCGAGAAGAGGACGTCCTTCCGCTCCGCCGTGGGAGGCGAGCGGTTGCGAGGGTTCTGCGACGCGGAGGGCGGCTCATCATCCCGGCCCAAACTCGCAGCGGCGCGGGAGAGGGCGCGGTGGCGGGTGCGGGGCGGGGAAGCGCGGCGAGGCGCGCGGCGAGGCGACGGGCTGGGGAGAGGGGATGGGTGGGCAGCGTACGTCGGCGTCGGCCCGCCCGGCAGTCGCGACGCTCTCGACGGTCACTCGCTTGGCCTCGCCGTGCTCGGTGAACTCGACGTTGTCGCCGGCGCCGGTCCCCTCGGACACGGTGTCGACGACTTGCGCCGAGGCGACGCGGCCCGACTCCTGAGGAACGGATCCGAGGGGAGCGTGCGAGAGCGCAGGCGCGACGAATGGTTTGCGAGTGGCCGGGCGCGCGCAGGGAGGGGCGTGCGGGGAGAGCTGCTCCAAGGGCCCTCTCGCGCCTTGGGCGTCGGCCCGTTGGCGCCGGCGCTCTTGTCCGCCGGGACCTGCATCGGGCACGACGCGTGTTGCGTGGTTGCGTTTTGTGGCGCGCCGTGCGCGTGGTGGGTGAGGGCTGCGAGGGGTGCGGGCCGCGCCTTGGGTGCGTTGGCGCGGCGGCCGGTCTTCGAGACGTGTGCGAGCGCTCCGCGAGGCTTAGCCATGGCAGCGCGGTGTGGTTGGTCGGGCCGCGGAGAGCCTCGGTGCTTGGTGGCGAACTCAAACGAGCACACGAAAAGAATCTTTGCGGGGAAAAGAACTCGCTGCTCGCCTGGGGAGAGAGTGGAAGGTTGCGTGATGGCTCGCGCGACAAAAGAAAAATCCCTCCAGTCGAGGTCCTCCCTCCGGCCGGCAGGTAGCTTCATATATATGTGCTCCTGTCCGCGCTGCCTCACGTGCGCCGCTAGCGGGTGCGACCGGCACATGTCCGCCGAAGACGCGCTCGCCGCGGCGGCCGCGGAGGGCCTCGTCCTCGTGCGCAGCGCGAAGAACATCTCCGGCTTTGTCGGCGTCTCCTTTCGCGATACCTCACACGTCCACCCGTTCTATGCGGCCGACTACAGCACCGCGAGCAACGGCAGGACCGCGCGGAAGATACTGGGCTTCTTCGCCACGGCGGAGCAGGGCGCGCTTGAGAAGGCCAGGTACGCTCGCCGCATTTGCAAGCGGGTCGGCAGCGGTGGCGCAAACCTTGCCCGCTCCCACCCGCTGCTGCCTAAGGAGGCGGCGGCGGCGGTGGCGGCGGCGGTCACTCTGACGGGCAGCGGGCCGAATGGAAAGCGGCCCGCCGAGGCGTCTACTATTGCACAGGCCGACGCCGCGTCGCCGCTCCCGGCCTGGTGGACCTACAGCAGCGCTGAACGCACTGCGATTGAAGCGATGAGCAAGAGCCAAGTCGAGCAAGCCGCGGCCGACGAGGGGCTCGTGCTCGAGGCGAATAGGATCGACCCGTCGCGCTACAAGGGCGTCATCGAGCGGAGGAGCGCAGGCGGCGCCGTCGTCTACACAGCGTACTGGCAGCCGTGCGCAAGCGACGCTCGGCGCCTCGGGTTCACGGGCTGTGGCATGCGCTTCGGGTTTTGGACCCGGCCCGAGCACGCCGCGCTCGCGCTCGCACGGGAGAGGAAGCGCGCCCTCGAGTGGGCGGCGGCGGCGGCGGCGGAGCCGCGGCCGCAAGCGCCCGATCCTCTGGGTTGCGCAGCGCCGCATCGACACCCGGCAGGCGCTACGCCCAGCCGCAGCCGCGACCCGCAGTCCCCGCTTCGAAGCCTGCCGAGGACGGCCGTCTCGCAGCTGGCCGAGGACCAGCCCGCCACTAGGGAGGCGGCCTCATGAGCGGCTCGTCTTCGAGCAGGCGGACGTCGGTATTGCACGCTGCAAGCCTTTGTGGGCGCTTGCCTGCGTCGCGAGGTGGCACTGCTGGCGCGGCGGCCAAACTCCGGTAAGCATCCGCGGAGGCGGTCGCTATTGCGGCGGAGTGTTCGATCGCAGCGCTATCGCGGAGGCGACGAGAGGCGCTCCGACAACGCCGCCGCCACCGGCCGCCGCCTCGAGGCTCCCGGAGCAGGTGGACTTCAGCGGATCCCTGCTGCCGCAGCTCCGCATGCTCATGGAGGCGTTGTCGAATGGCGAGCATGCGCTTCGGCGTAACGCCTGGAGTGCACCTCACGGAGAGCAGACGTGTCGTGCGCTCGCAGCACATTGTCACACACGCCGCGCCCCGCGCACGGCACGTAGTGCAAGCGGCTTCGCATCTGCACAGCGCTTTACCTTGTTATTTAGTTATACACTTCGCAGCTCTTGTTAGCGTGAGATCATCAGAATTGTCAAACTCCTCACCCAGAGGGTGGCGCTGGCCCCGCCCGACCACGCGGCCAGCGCCGAGCGCCTTGGACCACGAGGTCTGGCCGCCTCACGCCGGTCGGGTGATGACCGGCCGGACGGGGCGAGGGGAGACTGCTGGCAGCTGGCGGCAACGGCGCTGGGCGCGACGCGGAGCCCACCACCTCGAGACGCCGTAGGCACCGCAGAGAGGGGGCTGGAGAGCAGCACAACCTCACCCTCACCGCCGATGGCAGTGTCTGGAGCTGGGGCTATCGAGCCTGGGGCGTGTTCATGGGCCACGGCAACCACCTGTACCAGCCGCTGCCGAAGAAGGTCGAAGCCCTCCTTTGCTGACCAGCGCGTCGTCATGGTCTCGGCGGGAGACGACCACAGCATCGCCCTCTCCGCCGGGACGGCGCTGTCTTCTCGTGGAGCGAGGGTAAGCGCGGCTGCCTAGGCCACGGAGAGGACATGACGATCCAGCTGCTGCCCAAGAAGATCTTGATCTGGCGCCGGGGCAGCGATGAGAAGGGCGAAATAGGTGCGAGGCTCTGTGTTGCCGCGTCGCCCACGTGCCTCTTCGCCAGCTGCGAAAGTATCCGAGAGTCGAGAGACGAAGTCGAGTCGGAGGAAGGTTTATTTATGATCTGGTCGCCTGGACCTCTATCTAGTCCTGTCAATGCCTCGGGCTGTGATGTGGGTCGCCCGAGACCCCGAGCCCGACAGGCATGAATGCATCGTATAGAGTGCAGGCTGGCTCCCTATGTTGCATCGGGAATTCTTTTATTTGAACGCCGTATTGGCCCCGCCAAGATGCGGGCGGGACTCCGACGACAGCCGGCGCGGCAGCCGGCAGCACCACCGGCTGCGCCGAGCCGCGTGGCCCTCGACTCGTGTCAAAATTGCTCCCGCGAAATCTTCGACCGGCGGAGGTACCAAGTCTGCCGCACCGTGTCTGACGCCACCCTTGAGCAACGCTGCCTCTGCCAGGCCTGCAGTATCCACTGGGCCACGCACGAGGCACCCCGTCCGTGCGACGGCAGCGTGCGTGTAGGGGGCGATCGCCGCTCCAGGGCCTACCAGGCGGCGCGCTCCTCGAGCCAGCCGCCTCGGCCCCGGCCGCAGCAGCGACGCCGACCTGCAGGCGCAGGCACGCGCGCCTCCCTTGCGCCGCTTGCCGACGTGTCAGGCGATGCGGCGCTGGCCTCGGCCAGCACCAGCGACGACGACAGCAGCGGCGAGGAGCGGGGACGGGCGCCGGAGCGGCGGGCGCCGAGGGCGCGGCCGTCCCGCGGCCAGTCGCAGCCGTGCCAGGCAACCGCCGATGATGTGCGGGCGGCAGAGCAGCAGGCGGATCGCAACCGCAGGCTGCGCGCGGTGCGCGAGAGCGATGAGCTCGACGAGCAGCTTTCGCGGGCTCGACAGGCTTTTGGCCAAGAGCTCCTTGCAGGCGTGCTGAAAGACATCCGGCAGCGGGGAGATATGCGGCAGCGGCGGCGCTCAATCTCGTCCTCTCCGCTGCGCGGCCGCGGCAGCGCCAGGGTGGGCGCCGGCCGGTCGGGCTCGTGCTCGCCGCCGCACTACCGCCGCGGCGCCGAGGCAGGCGCGCCCACGCCTTCGACCACGCTGCCGCCGCCACGCTGCCGCCTCGAGAGCGACGACGACGACGCCGACTCGACGTCGCCCACCCGACTCGATGTCGCTCCCGCTCCCGCCTCCGCCTCCGCCCCCGCCGCCTCCACCTCCGCTGCCGCCGCCGTCCCCCCCCGGCCGCCTTCCGCTGTGGAGGCTGGCGCCGAGGCCGGCTCCGCGCGGGTGATGGTCCCCTCCTCGGCGGGCGCCGCGGCCGTCGGGCCGCTCCTCCTCGAAGCCGGCCTGCAGCGAGCCGGCTCCGAGCCTCCGCCTCTGGGCGCAGGCGCAGGCGGCGAGGGCGCAGGCGGCGAGGGCGCAGGCGGCGAGGGCGCAGGCGCAGGCGGCGAGGGCGCAGGCGCAGGCGGCGAGGGCGCAGGCGGCGAGGGCGCAGGCGCAGGCGGCGAGGGCGCAGGCGGCGAGGGCGCAGGCGGCGAGGGCGCAGGCGGCGAGGGCGCAGGCGCAGGCGGCGAGGGCGCAGGCGGCGAGGGCGGCGGCGGCGCTGAGGTGGGCGCCGAGGAGGAGGGCGCCGAGGAGGCGGCCGAGGAGGGGTCACCGCCGCCCCCCCCGGCACCGGGGCCAGCACCAACCACGCCCCAACTCGTGCCGGCGGGGGGAGACCTGAGCTCGGGCGAGATCCGGGCCGTTTTTTGCGGAATCTCGGGCGCCCTCCGCCACATGGATGCCCGCTTTGCCTCGACGCCGGCGCCCTCTTCATGCGCCTCCTCGTCTTGCTCTGCCAGCAGCAGCCTGCCCTCCAGTGCCTCCAGCGCCAACACCGCCGTCGCCTCCGCTCCCGCCGCCGCTCCGCCTCCCGGGCCGACAGCGAGCGCCGAGGAGGTGCGCGCTTGGCTGGCTAGCAGGCCTGAGCTAATGGCGCTGGCCGCAACTCGTGACCCGATAATCACGTTGCCCCGACTGCATGTCTAGGAACTTGTCGGAGAACGTGCTGGCGACGTTTGACCAGCTGGACGGCGCCGAGCTCTGCGACCTCTCGGTATTGTAGGGGGGGGGGGGGCGCAGCTTACCCACATTTGGGCTGCATCTCAGCCGTGATCACGCATGTTGTAGGTTGACGATTTCGAGGAGTTCATCCCGAAGCTCAAGGCGAGGGCCATCTACAAGGCGCTGCATGCTGCCGACGGCGAGAACATGCCGCCGGCCTGAGGGCGACCTGAGAGGATGTCTGCGCCGCGCCGCCTCTAGATTGGCGCGAGATTGTGAGAGGAGACGGCTCCCCCGCGTAGCTTGCCTGATACGCGGTACGTTGCTCTCGGTGGTGTACTGCCGGTGCGTGTGTGCTCTGCTCTCGGTGAGGCGTGAGCGGGGTGCCGCGCCCGAGATTGTTGGATGGTGCATCCCTGTCGCTCTGCTCGGGCGGCCTCCCTGTTGAGTGTTGTCTGTGGCCTGTGCGCGCTGTCTGCGGCCTGTCTGGGTGGCATGGGCGGTGATAACTGCTAACTCTGAACCGTGTGTGATGACTGATGGGTCTGGGTACTGGCTGGGGGACGTTTAATACAGTAGATCGCGTCGAAACCTTTTAGCTGTTATTTCGCGTGCGTTCACGGTGAGCACCTGTGCACTCCCCCCCTGGGCGGGAGGGAACAGGGATCACTCCGAGTCTATCTGGCGATGGTCTGATGAAGCCTTAGGATGAAGCCCCCCGCGCCGCACGATGACACAACCCACAGGAATAAATACGTGTGTCGCTAATGTTCGAACAAGCGGTCGTGTCGTGCACCTCGGGTGTTGGGGAGGTCGTGGGAGCCGCTCAGGACCATTTTGGGGGCGCAATTCGCCTGGTTTCCCTTGAACACGCGGTTTCGCCCCCTCGGAAGCGCCCACATAATCGCGCGTCCCCCCCTGTGGCGACGGTCTCGCGCACCTGCGCCAGACCCCACCGCACTAGCTACATAGATCGTCAGCAGTAGGCGTGCTCAGAGCCCGGATTTGGGCCCATTCGCCAAAGGGCTCGAGAATGGCGCCCGGCAACGTGCAGCTGCAGGCCAGAGGGCGTGAGGTGAGGCCGAATCCGCAGTCGCACGAGCACCGCTGCCCCCAGCGGTGATCATGCATGGAGTGGCACGGCGGATAGGCCCGCCTGCGAGCGTGGAAGACAGTCGCGGGGCGTGAGGTCTCAATGTATCGCAGGCTAGGACCGGAGACGGCGGCGCGGGAGAGGGAGGGAAGCGTGAGCGGCGGGCGATGAGAGTGATTTCCCCGATCTCGCTAAAAATGGCCTAGTCCCCTCACGGGGGGCCGGGCGAGCACGCACCTCGCGTCTGGGCGCGAGTCGACGAGTGGTCGCCGAGAGATCGCCGAACCACTTTCGAGTGCGCGCGCACACAGCACAGCTGCGGGTTGTAACTCGACTGCCGATCGCGCGTGCGGGATGTAAATGCAGCTTTCTGGCGCCAGTGCACGGTGGCAGGGACTGGAGGCTCGGCCGAAGGGGAAGAGCAGTCCTCAATCGTCACGTAGAGGTCGCTGGGCTGGATCCATCGAACTGCCACACACCTGGAGCGGAGGCACATCAGGTCTTGCGGCTCTCCGACAGATGCATGCCTTTTGAGCAAGCCCACGCGCCTCCACCGTCGCGTAGTATGCCAGCGGCACGCCGGTACGCCTACGAGTCGTGCGCGCTCGGCAGTAATCGGCGTTGAGACTGCCTAGCGCGCACATCGAGAGCGCCGAGTTGCCTTGCCGCGGGGTAACCGGCTCAAAGAGGTGGGGTTCGAGCGGCGCCTGAGCGCGTGGGAATGCGTAGTGGGCTTGGAATGAGACGCCTGGCGTACATCGGGCTCGGACGGTGTCTGTTGTGAGCTCACCGCTCGACGCACAAACCAGGCGCTTTAGGCGCCCGCCAACTGGCCTCACGGTCGAGAGAGCGGAACGCGGCTCGCCGAACAGCAATACACGTGGCCGCACTACTGTAGAGGTACGAACAGGTATGCAGATCGCGGCGCGCCGACACTGGCACGGCGTCAGAGCCAATATTGACCAAGGGCTCTGCTGGCCTGCCGACTCTCGCCGACCCTTCGGGCTCACACCACGGCTGGCCATCGCGTGAACAGGACGTGCCCTTCCGTTTTAAGGCAGTTCAATACCTTCCCCACGGGACACCAGGTCGATATCCGGCTAAACCACACGACCCCGAGAAACGCATAAGCCGCCCCGGCGCTGCCTCCGATTCCGGCCGTATCGGCCATTTCGCTGGGGCGGCTTATGAGAGATTTTTAGCAGTACTCGCTCTCTTTTATGTCCCACCATGCAGAGCGCATCTCTCTCTCTCTGTTGTGCGAGGCGTGAACCGCGCCATTCGCTCTCACCTGGCAACCCTGTCTGCACGTCTCGCGCGCGCGTGAACAGGGCCAAACGGGGCACAAACGCCAGGCTACAAAGACGGGGAGGCACGTAGTGACGCAGGGGAGTCTAGGCGACGGCGGCGTCCTCCGACGCCGCGGCGAGCCTGAGCTCGGTCGCAATCTCTTCCGCCGCCGCGAGCTGCAGCGCGACTGACATGCGCTGGGCCTGCAGCGACAGCCACGACCGCGTCGACCAGCTCGCCTCGTCCTCGTGCTGCCGCTTCGAGAGCTTGTTGCGCACCTTGTCCCTCATCTGGTAGAACAGCCGTTTGACCGCGTTGCACCACCCGCCGAAGGTTTCGAACAGGTACATCTGCACGCGCGAGAGGGCGTGCGCGTAGTCCGCCTTCTTGTACGCCACATAGCTGCCGCCGTCGCTCGGCCTGAAGAGGCTTCACCACATGCTGGTGGGGGGTCCCGCCCCCCCCAGCACCTTCACCACATGCTGGGGGGGGGGGGGGTCGTGGCCGAGGACCCCCCCAGAGACTCGTGGTCACAGCTCCCACCACCGTGTGTCGTGTCATGAAGCATGAGAGATAGACTTAGAAAGCATGAACCATCGAAAGGTCTGATCTCCAAAAAGAGCTGTCGGCCTGCCGCGCGCGCCCGCGCCCCGCCCCTTTTGCGCAGCAACACCTTAAACTTCATGGCCCTCCAAATTCGGGTCGGAGCGTAGCGGAGTGGGGACCCGAGTTTGAAAAAGGCGACGGACGCTTGCGTCCTAGCCTCCAACAACGCCTCCCCGGCGCAGAGGGGCCCCCGGAGGGATGCACAACCGCTCCACGCCACGCCGCTTGCGGCGGTCCTATTCCCAGCGCGGCTATTCTCATTTCCAATCTCGTAAAATTCTTTTTCCAAGCAACGGAGCATGGAGCAGCCCGCTCCGACAGACGCCGACGCAAAGAAGGCCGACAAGGCGGCCAAGAAGGCGGCCAAGGAGGCCAAGTTCGCGGCCAAGAAGGCGGCCCAGGAGGCGCAGCAGCAGAAGCAGGCGGCCGACGGCGCCGCCAAGCCGGCGGCGCCCAAGGAGGCGCCGCCGGTCGAGGACCCTGCGGCGCTCGCGACGGCGTACGTCAACCCGACGCCGGCGGGCGAGCTCAAGGCGATGTCCGGTCCGATGGCGCAAAAGTACCTCCCGCACGAGGTCGAGGCCTCGTGGAACGCCTGGTGGGAGGCGTCGGGCTACTACAGGGGCAACTCGGACCCGGCCGACACGCGTCCAAAGTTCTCCATCTGCCTGCCGCCGCCGAACGTGACCGGGTCGCTGCACCTGGGGCACGCGCTCACGGTCGCGGTGCAGGACCTGCTCGCGCGCTGGAAGCGGATGAGCGGCTATAACGTCCTCTGGATCCCCGGCACGGACCACGCGGGCATCGCGACGCAGGTCGTGGTCGAGAAGAAGCTGAAGAAGGAGCGTGGGCTGACGCGGCACGACCTCGGCAGGGAGGAGTTCCTGAAGACGGTCTTCGAGTGGAAGGAGGCGTACGGACAGCGCATCACCATGCAGCTGCGCCGGCTCGGCTGCTCGCTCGACTGGTCGCGCGAGGTCTTCACGATGGACGAGCAGCGCGCCGCGTCGGTCAAGGCCGCCTTCCTCCGCTTCCACAAGGAGGGGCTGATCTACCGCGACGTGCGGCTCACCAACTGGTGCTGCATCCTCCGCTCGGGCATCTCGGACATCGAGGTCGAGTACGAGGACCTCGAGGCGCCAAAGCGGCTCTCGGTGCCCGGCCACCCCAAGGACAGGACGTACGTCTTTGGCCGGATCTGGTCCTTCGCTTACAAGGTCGACGGCAGCGACGAGGAGATCGTGGTCGCCACCACTCGGCCGGAGACGATGCTGGGCGACGTCGCGGTGGCGGTGCACCCCGACGACCCCCGGTACAAGCAACTCCACGGCAAGCAGCTGGTCCACCCGTTTGTGGCGCGCAAGATCAAGCTCATCCTCGACCCTGTGCTCGTGGACATGAGCTTCGGCACCGGCGCCGTCAAGGTGACGCCCCCCCCCCCCCCCCTCTCCCTCTCTCTCCCCCCCCTCTCTCTCTCTCGCTCTCGCTCTCGCTCTCGCTCTCGCTCTCGCTCTCGCTCTCGCTCTCGCTCTCGCTCTCGCTCTCGCTCTCGCTCTCGCTCTCGCTCTCGCTCTCGCTCTCGCTCTCTCTCTCGCTCTCGCTCCCTCCCTCCCTCCCTCTGTCGCCCTCTCTTGAGCCTCGGCACCGGCGCCGCCAAGGTGACGCCCGCGCACGACCCGAACGATTTTGCTTGCGGCCGGCGGCACGGGCTCGACGAGATCACCGTCTTCACCGAGGAGGGCAAGATGGCCGACAACTGCGGCATGTTTGCGGGGATGATGCGCTTCGACGCGCGCGTGGAGCTGCTCGCCGAGCTCAAGCGGCGCGGCCTGCACCGGGGCGAGGCGGACAACAAGATGCGGCTCGGCGTGTGCCAGCGCACCGGAGACATCATCGAGCCGATGCTCAAGCCGCAGTGGTGGGTGGACTGCTCGGGCATGGCGAGGCGCGCAGTCGAGGCGGTGCGGCAGGGCGAGCTCAAGATCATCCCGGCGGAGCACGAGCGGACGTGGTACGCCTGGCTGGAGAACATCCGCGACTGGTGCGTCTCGAGGCAGCTTTGGTGGGGCCACCGCATCCCTGCCTACTTCCCGACGGTCAAGGGCGAGAAGGTGGAGGTGGTGGTGGCGGGGTCGATGGAGGAGGCGCGCGAGGCGGCGGCCGCGCGTCGGGGGGGAGTGCGGAGGGAGGCGGCGGAGTGCGGGGGGAGGCGGCGGAGTGCGGGGGAGGCGGGGGAGGGAGGCGGGGGAGGGAGGCGGCGGAGTGCGGAGAGAGGCGGGCGCTGCTCACGCCGCCGCCCGCCGTTCGCACGCAGGCGCGCGAGGCCGTGGTGGAGCGGGAGGGGTGCGCCGCGGAGGACGTGAGTCTCGAGCAGGAGCGCGGCGGGGCGTGCTCGGCACGCGGCGTCCCTCCCCCCCCCCTCCCCCGACCCTGCTCGGGGCCACTGTCTCTGTAGGAGGAGGACGTGCTCGACACGTGGTTCTCGTCGGGCCTCTTCCCCTTCTCGTGCCTCGGCTGGCCTGACGAGCAGGACGAGTCTAGAGCCCCTCCTCCAGCCCTCCCCCCTCCGGCCCTCCGTACCCTCCCGAGGGCCTCTTTCCTTCTCGTGCCTTCTCGGAGCCTTCTCGGAACCGTCTCGGAGCCTCCCGAGAGCCTTCCCTGAGAGCCTTCCCCGAGGGCCTCCCCCCTTCTCGCGGCACCCGACCTCCCCCCACACCTCGGGTGGTCTCGGGCGATCTCGGGCGATCTCGGGCGATCTCGGGTGATCTCGGGTGATCTCGGGCGATCTCGGGTGATCTCCCCCCACACCTCCCGTGGTCTCCCCCCCTCTCCAGGCGCCCGACTACGCCGCGTGGCACCCGACCTCGCTGCTCGAGACGGGGCAGGACATCCTCTTCTTCTGGGTCGCGCGCATGGTCATGTGCTCGCTGCAGCTGACGGACCGGCGCGCGGCCGCAGCAGCGACGCGCACCCGCCGCGTGCGAGTGCGAGAGCGGCGCCGCCTCACTCCGTGCGGCCGTGCGCAGGCTGCCCTTCAGCGAGGTGTACCTGCACGCGATGGTGCGCGACAAGCGCGGCCGCAAGATGTCGAAGTCGCTCGGCAACGTCATCGACCCGCTCGAGGCTCCGCCACAACACCGCCACCCCCCCCCTTCCCTCCCTTCCCTCCCTTCCCGCCGCCGCTGCCAAGCCCCCGGGCCCCGCCGCACTCCTCCCGCCGCACTCCTCCCGCCGCACTCCTCCCGCCGCACTCCTCCCGCCGCACTCCTCCCGCCGCACTCCTCCCGCCGCACTCCTCCCGCCGCACTCCTCCCGCCGCACTCCTCCCGCCGCACTCCTCCCGCCGCACTCCTCCCGCCGCACTCCTCCCGCCGCACTCTGGCGCGCGGGCGACTCGCCCCGCCCACACCACCACCACCACCACCACCCCAAGCGCTCGCCGCCGAGCCGCCGCGCCGCCGCGAGCAGGTCATCAACGGCGTCTCGCTCGCCAGCCTGTTTGCCAAGCTCGACGCGGGAAACATCGAGCCCAAGGAGCTCCCGCGGCGCGCCAGGGGGAGGCACGGAGAGGGAGCACCTTCTAGGAGCCGTCCACGAGCTCTCCCCGTAGGAGCTCGCCGCGGCCAAGAAGATGAACGAGGAGGAGTTCCCGCTGGGCATCCCTGAGTGCGGCTCCGACGCCCTCCGCTTCGGCCTGCTGGCCTTCTGCGGCCAAGGGCACCCGAGAGCACCCGAGAGCACCCGAGAGTACCCGAGAGTACCCGAGAGCACCCGAGAGCACCCGAGAGTACCCGAGAGCACCCGAGAGGACCCGAGAGTACCCGAGAGCACCCGAGAGCACCCGACCTGCTCGCCTTCTGCGGCCAAGGGCGCGAGGCCAGAGCCACATCGCACACGCACCCACGCGTTGCTTTCCCACCACACCACGCCATGTCCATGTGCTTTCCTCGGCCCAGCCACTCACTCGCCTCGCCCACCGGCAGCCTGCGCAACAGCCACACCGCCTCTCGGACCGCCTCGGGTGACCTGCGGCGCACCAAACCCGGACAGGCGCGACGTGAACTTGGACATCGCGCGCGTGGTCGCGTACCGCAACTTTTGCAACAAGCTCTGGAACGCCACCCGCTTCGCCTTCCTCTACCTCGACGCGGCCGACGGCCAGGCGCCGTTCCGGCCGGCGGAGCTGCCGGCGGCGGGGGGCGCCGCCAACCTGCCGCTGCTCGCCGACGCGCGGACCTGCTCTGCGGCGGGCGCACGCGGCGAGCAGACGCCGTTCACACCGGCGGGTCTTGCTGTGCGCAGGCGTGGATCCTCTCGCGGCTGGCGCACGCCGTGAAGACGCTCGACGCGCAGCTCACGGCATACGACATGGCGGCCGCCGTGACGACCGTGTACGAGTTTTGGTACAAGGAGCTGTGCGACGTCTACCTGGAGGCGGTCAAGCCGGTGATGAAGCAGGAGGACGCCGCCGCCAAGCACGCGACCCAGACGGCGGCAGATGAGCCGAGATCTCGCCGAGATGAGAGGAGGCTGGCACGCCGCCACCGAGCCGGCGCTCCGCGCCTGCCTGCGGCGCGGCGCGGCGCGGTGAGCGGCGCCCGGTCACGCCTCTGGCCCGAGGGTGCAGGTGCTCCACGCCTGCCTGCACCACGGGCTGCGGCTGCTGCACCCGTTCATGCCCTACGTGACCGAGGAGCTCTACCAGCGGCTCGCGCTTCTCGCCGGCGAGCCCCGCGCGTCCATCATGGTGGCGCCCTTCCCGCAGCCCGCCGCGGTCGCCGCGTGGGCGAGCGAAGAGGCGGAGCGAGACATGGAGCTGCTGGCGAGCCTCGCCGCCTCGGTGCGCCGCCGCCCCCGCCAGAACCCACCAGAACCCACCACAACCCCC